CAACAGAAGGGAAACTATTACACTAGACTACAGGGGGAATTCCAGGCCATCCTGGGATTCGTGGAGCTTATCACAAAATTTCTTTTCAGTAAACATTCAAATGGACGTTTTGTCATTTAGGTTTGTTCCATTTAGAACATGAGCAGTAGACCCAGTATAATCCTTAAGTCCCTGAGGATTTTCAGGTTGGGAAACGAGCATGGGCTTTAACAAGTAGTCATCTCATACTTTGAAGCATGGTAGACAGGCATTGACTTGGTCTTAAAGCTCCAGTGACATGTGTAAGCAAGCTTGAGTATGCTTAGAGTATGCCTTGTCGTGACTAAGTACCTGACCAATGAGATAGGTGTATGCCTCAGTCTTAAAAGAAGCCGTCAAACTGTTTTTCAAAGTGGTTGTATCAACATTACTGCAAGCAAAGAAGAATCCCAGATAGGAAGTGGATCCAGTCCAGAAAACCTATCCTTTAAATTTAGCCTTGCATAGTCTCAGGACACAAATAAAACAGAAACAAATTATTTGAGGAATGGAATATGAATTGTCTCTAGTTCCATTTCCGATAGAATTGTTGTATCCACCGAGGCATTGTGAGCACAGCTTTTACTGCTCACACTTGTATCAGCATTCTGAGCAAAGAGAATCAAAGCACATATTAAGAGGGCAACGTATTCTTGCCAAGTGGGCTGTACCCCAGGACCAGAATCTGGTTTAACATTCAGTAGAAGGAATGGAAGAAGAGACGGAGTAAAGCTCATTGTTACACTGCAAAAGCCAGCATCCATTTAAAAAAAAAAATTAAAACCTTTTCAAACAATTGGAAAGATTTTGGTAAAGGACATCTATTGAAAATTTACTGATAATGTATTTCACATGAAAGACTAAATGCTTTCTTTCCGAATCAGATGCTGCCCATTCTTGTCACATCTGTTCAAGTCCTACTGAAAGTTCTAATTAGTTCAGTCTAGCAAGAAAAAGAAATAATCTAATTTAAACAAAGATATAAAGCTGCCTTTATTTGAAAATGACATGATCATTTTGTAAAAATTCACTGGAATCTGAAAGGGAATTTAGTAAGGTTGCAGGGCACATTGGTGTCTAAGCTCCCATATGCTGTCAACAACCAGAAATAGACAGAATGGGCACGGGGGAGGTGGGGGGGGGCGCTAGCTCCACAGTGTTGTGCTTACCTAGTAACCACAAGCCCTGGATTCAGTCCTCAGCTCCAGAAACGAAAATAGACAAAATACATTATTTTGTTATGTGTATGCTGAGAGATACTAGCTTGTGCCTTTGATTTTCTGATTTGGGGTTTTGTTTGGGCTTAGGGTAAGATTAGGGCTAGAGAACAGGTGGGGAAGCACTTTGTCTTCTCCTGTCTTGTTGGATGAGTGACAGCTGGGTTTTTTGCTTGCTAAGCAAAAAAGCATTTGGTACAATTTGCACACATGTGACTCTCAACTTCTCATTGTGAAAAACTTAACTATAATTTCATTCTTGCTAGTAAAGGACTATAAGTAATATATATCTTTCGCATTGTAACTTCACCAAAGTTGACAAATTTATTGGCACAAAATTGTTCTGAGCTTTCTTATTTTGTCTTTTTTTTTTTTTCTTTCAGAGCTGAGAACCAAACCTAGGGACTTGCGCTTGTTAGGCAAGCACTCTACCACTGAGCTAAATCCCCAAGCCCCTGAGCTTTCTCTGTTACAGTAGACTCTGTAACAGTATCATTTTATTTGTATGTTAATAATTTATAACTTTTGTCTCACAGACTGGCTCAACAGTTATCAAAGAACTTTCGTTTCAGTATTTTTCTATTATTTTTGTTTTCCATTTGTCAGTTTGTTTCAGATCTCTATTATTTCCTTTATTAATTCTTTTCTTATACTGCTCTTGAGTTTGAGTTCTCTCTTTGTAAATTTCTTAAGGTGGAAGCTAAAGTCTTTGATCTGAGGCCCTTTTATTTTATTTTTCTAATATATGTATTTAATGCTAGTAATTTACTACTGTGTACTTTTTTTAAATTTTATTTTATGGATATGGATATTTTTCCTGCATGTACATCTGTCTATGTACCATGTGTGTTTCTGGTGTCTGCAGAGGCCAGAAAGGGCATCAGATTCCCTGCAAGTGGAATTACAGACAATTATGAGCTGCCATGTGGTTGCTGGAAATCTAAATGGGTCGTCTGGAAGAGCAGCCAGTGCTCTTATCTTCTGCGCCATCTCTCCAGCCTCCTATTAAAATATTCTTTAGCTGTACTCTACCAACTGAGGTATCCTCAGCTGCTTTTATTTAAAAAAAAAAAATGGTAGCTATTTTGATGAATATTAGATAATATTTTTGTTGTTTGTTTCAAGACTGGGTCTCTTTACATAGCCCTGGCTGTCCTGGAACTTACTATGTAGATAGATCAGGCTGGCCTCAAACAGAGATCCACCTGCCTCTGCCTCCCAAGTGCTAAGTTTAAAGATGTGTGCCATCAGCCTGGCTGGATTTTTTAATTTTATTTTATTTAGTAACTTTGGTCTGCATTTCTTTGGTATGGTGAGTGATGCTATTGTTTTACATGCATGTTGGCCCATTTGTATTTTATCTTTGCATAAATGGCTACTGAATTTCTTTATCTGATTTTAATCTGACTAGTTTTGTGTTCTTTATTTGCATTCCTTTTGTTGTGATATACTTTAATGTTTCTATCTTTATCAGATTTACAACTCTGACAAAGTCATGCTTACTGTCTTTTTTACTCAGAAATTGTAGCTTTCACCCCTGGAAGATTTATTTCTGTCTTTTCCTGTTACTTCTTGTTGTTCAACATAGGTTCTCACTATGTAGTGTAGTCTGATCTGGAATTCACTATTATAGATCAGGCTAGCCTCAGGCTTGGGATGATCCTCACACTAGAGCTTCTTAAATGCTGATATATGTAGATATGTAGATATGTAGATGTAGATATGTAGATATGTAGATATGTAGACATGTAGATGTAGATATGTAGATATGTAGATGTAGATATGTAGACATGTAGATATGTAGATATGTAGACATGTAGATATGTAGATGTAGATATGTAGATATGTAGACATGTAGATATGTAGATATGTAGACATGTAGATATGTAGATATGTAGACATGTAGATATGTAGATGTAGATATGTAGATATGTAGATGTAGACATGTAGATGTAGATATGTAGATATGTAGATATGTAGATGTAGATATGTAGACATGTAGATGTAGATATGTAGATATGTAGATGTAGATATGTAGATATGTAGATGTAGATATGTAGATATGTAGATATGTAGATGTAGATATGTAGATGTAGATATGTAGATGTAGATATGTGGATATGTAGATATGTAGATATGTAGATGTAGATATGTAGATGTAGATATGTAGATGTGTAGATGTAGATATGTAGATATGTAGATGTAGATATGTAGATATGTAGATATGTAGATGTAGATATGTAGATGTAGATATGTGGATATGTAGATATGTAGATGTAGATATGTAGATATGTAGATGTAGATATGTAGATATGTGGATATGTAGATATGTAGATGTAGATATGTAGATATGTAGATGTAGATATGTAGATGTAGATATGTAGATATGTAGATGTAGATATGCCTCCATGCCCAGCAAGTCTTTATTTTTGAACGTATGTCTATAGTAACTACGTAAATGTCCTCCTATGTAATTCTAACCCAATAGTCCGGTTGTAGTTGATCGTGTTTGATGATTTTGCTCATTATGAGTTCTTTCCCTGCCTCCTTTGCATGGTATTTTTTCCTACATGACACAAACCTAGACATATCTCAGGAAAAGGGACACTCTTAATTGAGAAAATGCCTGTGTTAACACTGTCCTGTATGCAAGTCTTCGACATATTTTCTTGATTAATGATGAATGTGGGTGGGGCCGACGTACTGTAGTCTGTGCCACCCTTGGATGAGTGGGTCTGAGTTATATAAGAAAGCAGTGCGAGCACGCTAGGAGAAAGCCAGTAAGTAGCATTCCTCCATGACTTCTGCTTTGATTCCTGCCGGCAGTTACTGCCCTGAGTTCCTGCCCTGACCTCCTTCATTGGTGGACTGTGACTTTTGAGTTGTAAGATTAAACATAGACCTTCCCTCCTCAAGTTGCTTTTGGTCATGGTGTTTATCACAACAGTAGGAACTCTAAGGCAGTATCAACATTATGATTTATTGTTGACCTTTTGGCTGGTAAGTGTATCACTGTTACAAATGTTTTTTATCTGGGGAATCCACCGGGTTACATTTGAATTTTTCCCTGTGCTATTGTCTAAAAACTAACTGTTGGCAATAATAGGGATTACTTTTCCATTTCTCATCTATTAGGGACTGCTGTGTAATGCTAATTGATGGCAGTGTCTCAGAAGCTGTTACTTCTGGTGTTTTATCTTATTTACTCCTTCCTTCCTTCCTTCCTTCCTTCCTTCCTTCCTTCCTTCCTTCCTACCATTTTCTTGAGACAGGGTTTCTGTATATAGCCTTGGCTACCCCAGAACTAGGTCTGTAGACAAGGCTGGCCTCAAGCTCAAAGATCCCCCTGCCTCCTGAGTGCTAGCATTAAAGTCAGAGTCAGTTAGAGTCAGTACTGCCTGGCCTCATTTGCATTTTAAGTTTCTTTGGTATGAAGACAAACCTGGCCCCTGTTACATCGTTTTGGTAGTGACATGCATCCTACCTACCAGTACTGTTAACCTGAGCCTGTTTTTATGCTGGGATTCTTACATAAAATGTTTTACTGACCACTTCACATTGCCCTTTGAGAACCGATTTATATGGGTGATTAGAAGATAAACTCATGTCAGCCAGCGTGAACACTTTCTGAAGATGCTTTTAGACTGATGAACTGATTTTTGGGCTTCTCATTTTTTGAGGGCATCTATTGAGTTAGTTGGATCAGGAAGCTAATTTTGAATAACAGTTTTAAAAAATTCTAATTATGTTTTGTTTCACTTTCAGAATTAAGAAAAAGAAAGAACAAGAGCGCTATGCTGAAGAGCAGAGACTCCTAAGAATGAACTGTCATGAAGAGCCGTGTTCAGAAGAGAAGATCAGTGATGGTTTAGCCCAGTTACAACTGGAAGAAATAAAAGGACCCAGAGAAAAACAGCAACAGAGAGAAAAAGAATATATAAGGTGATTTTAAGCATTCTTCATGAAATTCTGGGTCTAGAAGAGACCTAGTAGAAAGTAGGCTTTCTCATATTCCTTACCAGACTGGCTTTAGCCTGGTGACGGTGACACATACCTTTAATCTCAGTACTCAGGAGGCAGAGGCAGGTGCATCTCTGAGTTCCAGGACAGCCAAGGCTACACAGAGAAATCCTGTCTCAAAAAATACAAAGTCAGAGACACTGTATGCCTTCTCATACTTGTCCTTATTAAGGGTGCATACTCCACTACTATTTTGATTGGCTAGGACTTGTTGGGATGAGTACTGCATTTTCCTAGTGCCATGTTCCACTGCATAGGAAGACTAGAGGTACAGAGGAGAGAGATATGGCTATAAAATCAGGTACATGCACATTATTCTCCTAGTAGATTGACCTGACCGCACTGTCATTTTTGTAGATACGTAGAAGCTTTACGAGCCCAGGTCCAGGAGAAAATGAAGCTGTATAATATCACTTTACCTCCGTTATGCTGCTGTGGGCCTACTTTCTGGGATGCTCATCCTGATACCTGTGCCAACAATTGCATTTTCTATAAAGACTACAGAGGTGAGTTTCTTAAGGAATCTTTGAGTCCCAATAGCAATTAAAATTAAATATCTGTGTATAGTAATTTAAGAGAAATATATTTATTCCTTTATAAAACAAATATTTAAGACAATGAAAATTACTATAGTTTCATTTCTGATTGGTCCTGCTTATGATGGAGAAGCGTTTCCAGCTCATCCCACTGTATATAAGAGGACTTGGATACCAGATCTTCCCTTCATTGAACACTATTAAGAGATTGTCCTTGCTGGGTGGTAGTGGCACATGCCTTTAAACCCAGAAATTGGGAGGCAGAGTTCGATGGCTCTCTTTGAGTTCTAGGCCAGTCTGGTCTACAGAATAAGTTCCAGAAGAAGGCTACACAGAAAGAGCCTGTGTTGAGAAAAAAATAAGTTTGTCTTTTATGGCTAAATTAGGAGTCTGTTATCACATACCTTAATGATGTCTAATACAGACTGAAAAGCATATATCCATATTAGACTGTCACTTCTGCTGGGTACACCAAGATGAGAAGCTCTATAAAGAGTCCCAGGCAGAGACAATGGAGTGAGTCCTTCCTGTAATGTTTCCTGCCCAGCAGTAGGTATTGATTTATAGAACATAAGAACTTTGTCAGCATCATGTAACTACTGAATTGTTGCCAGTATTTATATACCAAAAATGCTCATCTGTGTGATAATTTATCGGACCTATGAGTTTCTTTAAAACGTCTTATGACAGTATGAAATATGTGACATTTTATATACTTCTCCCTAGTCTCAGGCCACATTCCAGCTTCATGGAACTTCCTCTTAGACGTTTTGTCTCTCACACACTTAGTTCTCTGTCTACAGTGCTCTGTGTCTTTCCTCCTGTTAGCCCTCAGAAGCCCACTTTAAATGAGACAGCTTCTCACATCCTCCCAGGGTTCCCTAGCTGTTCATTGAGATCCATCTTCCTATTGTGGTGACATTTTATATATGCCTGTGGTGTGGAAGCCCTTTTTACTACAACTTTATTTGTTGCCATTTTCTAGAATCTCTTTTCTTTCCTCCCAAAGTTAGTCTCTGTCATCAGTACTCAATAAATATGTGTTCTGTGTCGGAGTGAATGCCTGTGGCGTTTCGGGTAATGAAGCAGAGCCAATAGGAAGAAGCGGGAGAGCCGTCTAGAGTCTGACTTTATTATCACTGTGCAAACCTTCATTTGCAGCATATAATCGGGCATTGCATTCCGTCATCAATTCTTCTGATATCTCTGAGGGGAACGCAACTCTTCGAAATGCCATTCGTAATTTTGCTTCTGCACATAGACGAACTTCAAAACAAGGTCTCCAGTAAGAGTCTGAAATCCGTGCCACTGACTGGTAGTATTTCCACCTTCATTTAAAATCAACCACAGAAATTATATAGGCAAGGCTGTTAAAGTGTATACGCTGTATTATCTGGAAGGAAAGCAAGTCCACATAACTGTCTATCTGCCTTGGGACCAACATTGAAAGCTGACTGACAAACTTATCTCTTTGGTTTAAACCTTTGTGGAACCTGTTATTTTTAAAGTAATTAGAAAAGTAAGGTTTCTCTTACTTTTTTAAAACAAAATCATATTTTAAGCTTTTTCTTTAATTAGAGAAACTGATGAGAAACCTTTGACATTATCTGACTGTCACTTGTCTGAAATGTTGCCTTTGAATCTTGACAGTACTGAAAGTGTCTGAAGAGGAAGAAAAGAATGGACTTCTGAGCTCTAATGGTCATCTATAGCGCCATTGGCTTTTCTAGTTTTATATAAGAATTAGAGATGAGAAGAATTTGAATTTGACATACTTTTTTTTTTTAATTCCTCCCATCTCTTTTACTTTTTAAATGACTGCCTCTTTTTTCATTCAGTGACAATTGGATATAGGACTTTAAATTTTATTTTATATTAAATTTGTTTGAGATTTTATTTATTTTTATGTATATGAGTGTTTGCTTCAATATAGTCACAGAGGGCTCTGGAACGTGAGTTAACTCAGGGTTTCATTGCTGACATCAAAGAATTCTACAGCGTGTCAAAAAATTATTATATATCTACTGTACATAATAGCTTAAGAGAAAAATAACCAAAAACCTGAACACTTCTCATGCTAGCTTCTCTTTTCACAGCTAGAGTTTCAGCAAAATGCTACCTCACATAGGAAACCACAAGACAACCTGAAGCCATTGGAAGCCACCACAGTGTCAGCAGGTCCAGCCTCACCGTGCACCACTGAGCTATAGCCCTTCCAGAAGGCATTTCCCCCATGCCAAGCAAGGAGCATCAAGAGTTTGTTTTTGAAATTTTGTTTACTTTACAAACTATAGATATGTTTTATGTCCAGTTTTCAATTTGGGCTTTAGAGCCAATAACAATGCTAATATCGCTTCACAAGCTGAAAGCATCATGCTAGAAACATCTTCAAATGCCTTGTCATACCAAAATCAAAATGCAAAGTAAGGATTACACAAGAGCACCTTGTCATTTTAAAGTGCTTGGGAACATGTACACCGTGGATACAATTTCAGGGGTTCCAGACACTCGTGTCCACTTCATGTAAACCCGACGCTTTGAGAAGCCGCAGTGTGACTGTGGTCAGATCCAAAATTAAACCCAGTGAGGGCAATAGACACAGCTCAGATGAGGTGTGTGGGTCACGGTGCTCCCCCCTTTACGGTATTTTCAAGGAGACAGATAAACGTTTTTAGCTGAGCGTGGTGGTACATGTCTTTAATCCCACTACTATGGGGGCTGGTCCAGAAGGGTCAGGAGTTTCGGGCCAGCTGAACTACATGAAACTGTCTCAAAAATTTTTAAGCCAAATAAAATAGTTGTTTTTCCTTCTGCTTCTGTTGCTCTTCCTCATCCTCTTCCTCTTTTTGTGAACAAATCAGTAGGATCCTTTTCCCGGCAGACTTTCCCTTGACTTGTACTTGGGGCATCTTCTTCTGTTTCTCCCTCTGCTTCCCCACCTCACTGATGCTTTTCTCTGCTACCTAAGCTGTTCAGCATCTCACTCAGCTGTTGTGTGTGCTTGTTTGATTAACCACATCTACACATAGAGATTCCCAGGATTTGTGGCTTTGATCTTGGGCCAGAGTTCTGAGCAAAGCAAGAAGAATGCAGACAGCGGTCTGTGGGCAGCTCTAGTGCCCGTTTCCTTCACCTCCTGGAAGCTGGTCTACAGTCCTTCATTTTCCAGTGGAGGGGTTTTTTTTTACCAATTTCGTCATTTCATAGTTTTAAATTTCCCTTCCCAAACATTGTTTCCATTTCTTAGAGCACTTAAGTAAATCCTGCAATATTGGGAAGGACATTGGCTCTTCTTCTTGTGGTCTTCTCTGTCCGGCTACATAAGGAAGGCATAAGCAGTCATAAGCCTTTAGTTTCTTGGGGTCACTTTTAGTCATCCTGATGTATTGTTCTCTAGGAAATGCAGAGCTCAGCACAAGGCTCCCTGCCCTCAAACTAGCCCTCTCCATGACAACCAACTTTTATATAATTGTTACTAATTAAAAATGTTAACAATAAAACATAAGGAACTAATAATGGCAGTCTTCTGGAGTCTCCCCACTCCAAAAATCCCTTTCTAATCTTATGTAACCATTGATCTATTTCTTTTATGTATAAATAAGTCTATATGTGACTTCTCTTATGAATGGAATATACAATGTGAGCTCTTTTTACTAAACTTTTTCAGTTTGATGTCAAGACTCATCTGTGTTGTCAGATTCATTAATGTGTTGAATAGTATTGATAGTAGTCGTAACAATAAAAGTATTTATGCATTCATCCATTAGTAGACATTTGGGGGGTTTTCTATGTAGTTATTATGAATTCTGCTATGAGCAATTGTTCTCAGGATTCTCTAGTACATGTATTCATTTCATGGTGTATGGGAGTAAAATTCTGGAATCACATAGTAGCTTTGTGTTTAACTTTTGACAAACTACAAACTCTTTTTCAAAGTACTTCTATTTTTCATTCTCCAGAGCGTGTAAAGAACGTGGCTTTGTGTTCTTCACCAACATTCATCTCTTACACAGGTGGCTGTGATGTGGTATTTCATTGTGGTTTTAAGTTCCTCCTAGCAGTTGATGTTGGTTATTTTTTTTCATGTGCCTGTTGGCTGAGTGGATCTGTCTGTTGAAGATGTTTGCCAGATACTTTGTCAGCTTTATAATTGGGTTGTCTCTTTATAATGGAATTGTGTTGTAGAAATTTTTAATCCAGACGTGTGGTTTCTACACTGCCTTTGACCATTTAGTTCCCTGATAAAAGACACACACAACCTTTATATTTACAGTAAGCCTTAAACAGCACAAGAGCAGGGCAGATACCTGCCCTCTATGCTATTAGAATCTACTTTCTTATTACTTACTATGGTTCATCTGGGCTGTTCTTAACTCCAATTGGCCAGCCCTGTAGGGCCCTCCCCCCCCCCCTTTTTTTTTGGCTCACCTAACCTATGGTGGCTTCTCTTCCTCCTACACCTTCTTCTTCCTCTCTTGGTTTTCCTCAGACCCCAAGCCCTGGAAACCTAACCTCACCTTTGTCTCTTCTGCCTAGCTATTGGCTGTTGACATCTTTATTTACCAATCAGAAATAGCTTGGGGTCAGGGTCACTGTTTTATGTGAGGACTCCAGGTCTTGGGGGCCACCACTTAGCATTACAGTAGATAGCAAGCCCAAACCTCAGCAGAATTAGAAGAGCTCCTACTGTGCCCTACACATATGTCCCTAATCCTACTGTGCCCTACACATAGGTCCCTTATCAGGTGTATCATTTGTATTTTCCCATTCTCCTGGTGTTTTGTTTTGTTTTTGTTTTTTTGACAGGGTCTCACTGTTGTTCTCGATGTCCTAGAAGTGACTTTGCAGACCAGGCTGGCTTTGAACTCACAGAGATTTCCCTGGCTCTGCCTCCCAAATGCTGAGATTAAAGAGTGTAACACCTGCTTCTTTTCACTTTCTTAGTGGTGTCTTCAGCTTGTAGCACACACCTAGGTTTAATGAAGTCTAATTTATATATATTTGTGGCCTGTGTTTTTCCTATAGTCTGAAAAGCCATTATTTGATCCAAGGCCACAAATATTTGTCTTACATGTTTTGTTACAAGTTTTAAAAGTGTTGGTTTTATGTTTAGAGTTACTATCCAGTTGAAGCTAATGTGTGTCAAAGGTTATTCTTTTACATGTGGCTACCTGGTATTCCACTGTCACTTGTTAAAGACTACCATTTGCCACATAGAATTGACTGGAAATGTCAGAGCTTACTTGTAAGATCTCTGTTGTGTACCATTCATCCTGTGCCTATCCTTACATAGAATATTTCTACAATACTATAACTTGGTGATGAGTTTGAAGTTGACGAGTGTGAGCCCTACTTGTTTGTCCTTTTTTAAAAAGATAATTTTACTTTTCTGAGTCCATACATTTTCATATCAATTTAAAGGTCACTTTTCCACCAAAAACAAAACAACAACAAACACAAAAGAGTAGCTGAATTCTGATAGGAAATATACTGACTTCCTGGTTAATTTGGGAATAATTGGCATCTGACCCGTGAACATAGGATGAGATCTCATATGTGTATGGCTTTAATTTTTCTTGGCTGTGTTTTACATTTACAGAGGACAAAAACTGTATGTAGGTTACACATGTTCCTAGTGTTATTATATCGATGTTATTGTAATGAAATTGCCTTTTATTCCTTTTTCTCTACTTTGAGCCTGATCTTATGTAACTTAGGCAGGCCTCAAACTCAGTATGTAGTCAAACTCAGTATGTAGGAAATATCCTCTCCTGTTTCTGTTTTTTGAGTGCCGAAATTATAGGCATATACTAGCACACCACTTGATGCAGTGCTGAGGATTGAACCTGGGTCTTTGTGAGTGCTGAGCAAGCACTCCATCCTCAGCTCAGGACTTTGTGTTTTAATTATTAGTTTGTGGGGCGTATTGTATGTATGTGGGGGGGGGGCACTACTGCTTAGATATGGAGGTCAGAGGACAACTTCAGAAGTCAGTTTTTCTCCCTCCACTGGGATCCAAGGATACAGCTCAGATTATCAGGCTAGTTCACCAAGCACTTTCATCCACTGAGCCATCTCTCCAGTGCCAGCCAAGAATGCTTTATATGTTGAATCTTGTCATCTTAAAATAGAACCCTACTTCCAGCTCAGCGTTTTGTTTCTTTTTCTTGTCTAATTACTTGTCTTGTTACTGGTTAGAACATCATGCACAAAATTGTACAGTACTTAAAGAGGAAAGAATTTTTAAGTCTTTATGATATTTATCAGATCTGATGAAGTTCCCTTTTATTACTAGCTTACCGAGTGTTGTTTTCCTGGAATTGTTAGGTTTTATCTGATGCTTTTCCACATCTAATATTATTGTGTATTCTTTGGGGGTTTGGAGGTTTTTGTTTTGTTTTGTTTTGTTTTGTTTTTCTTTTTGGTGTTTTGGATCAGGGCCTTGCCATGTAAACTAAGACAGCTTCAAACTTTTGCTCTTGCCTTTAAAATGTTTTTAAATTGGTTTTCATTACTTTCCTAGGATATGTTGTATTGGCTTTTGTCTCTTTAGTCCTCACACAGTTGTTTGTTTGTTTATTTGTTTGTTCTAAGTTTGGTTTTTTCTGGAACAGGTGATTTGACTTGTGTGATCTCAAGTTAGTGAAATGATGGTAAAATTGGCCCCTTGGATATCATTAGAAAACTTTTAAGTATTTTAGTTTCAGTCTATATGTAAAAGTTTCAAGATAGATGTCTTAGGGTTTTACTGATGTGAAGAGACACCATGACCAAGGCAACTCTTATACAGGAAAACATTTTATTGGGGCTGGCTTACAGGTTCAGAAGTTTAGTCCATTATCATCTTGGTGGGAAGCATGACAGCAGGCAAACATGGTATTGAGAAGGAGTTGAGAGTTCTACATCTGGGTCATCAGGCAGCAGGAAGAGAGAGACACTAGACCTGGCTTGAGCATCTGAAACCTCAGAGCCCACCCCACTGACACTGACTCCAACAAAGTCACACCTCCTGATAGTGCCACTCCCTGATAGCACCACACCCTGGTAACCAGCATTCAAATCTGTGAGCCTGTGGAGGCCATTCTTCCTCAAACCACCACAGATGTGAATGTTCTTGCACTGCAGTCTGGTTATATGTCAACAGTGGCCAGTGGTTCCATCTGTGACTTACAGAAGTCTGAGAGCAGTAGCATTGACCAAGAAGAAGCAAGTCACCTGTCACACATGGTGGCAGTGTGGTGAATTCCGTTTGAAGTGAAAAATGTGCTTTGGAAGGAAATCTGGACTTCAGATTTCTTGTTTTGTTCCTAAATTTGAAGGACTGTTCTGGCTATTTTATGTCAACTTGACACAAGTTGGAGTCACCAGAGAGGAGGGAGCCTCAGTTGACAAAATGTCTCCTTAAGGTCTGGTTATAGGAAAACCTGTAGGGCACTTTATTCACTGGTGATTGATGTGGCAGGGCTTGGCCCATTGTAGATGGTGCCACCCCTAGGCTGGTGGTCCTGGACTCTATAGAGCAGGCTGAGCAAGCCATGGGGAGCAAACCAGTAAGCAGCACCCGCCATGACCTCTGCCTCCAGGTTCCTGCCCTGCTTGAGTTCCTGTCCTGACTTCTTTTGATGATGAACTGTGGTGTGGAACTATAAGCAGAATAAACCCTTTCCTTGCCAACCTGCTTTTGGTCATGGTGCATTATCACAGCAATAGAAATCCTAACTTAAGACAATGGTAAAATCAAAATTTGCAGGGTAAACTTTCCTAGCAGAGAACTTTAAGGAAGAAGAGGCTGAAAGATAAAAACTGATCCTAAGATGGATTTTGATTTTTGGAGCAGGAATAGGCACCCAGGATTTACAGTAGTGTGTGTCTGGCGAATGTCCCTCAGAGTATTTGCTTAGCACGTCTTAGGCTGGGAGTTTGATCCCACTGCAGAGTGAGTGAGCGAGCGAGTGAGTGAGAGAGTGAGTGAGTGAGCGATCGAGCAAGAGAGTGAGTGAGAGAGTAAGTGAGAGAGTGAGTGAGTGAGTGAGAGAGTGAGTGAGAGAGAGAGTGAATGAGCGAGCAGGGTAGAAGGGAGGCATTTAAGTTGGAAAATAGAGACTGAATAAGGATGGATATTGGAGACTGGAGGGATGCCTCCATGATTAAAAGTACTGGCTACTCTTCCAGGGGGCCTCCGTCCAATTTCCAGCACTCACAGGGCAGCTCAATCATCGGTAACTCCAGGACTAGTGATTTGATGCCCTCTCCAGGCCCAGGCATTGCAGGCACAAGGCGCACAGAAATACATGCAGGCTAAACACCCACCATACACATAAAAAAAAATTTAAGTTAGAGGATGAAGAGCCCTTGGATAGCTGTTCATATTTTCTGTAGGTGTTTCCTCCTCGCTATTATTTGATGAAGTCTTTCTGTATGCATGAAAAGAACAGACAACAGGGAACCTTCACAGCTCCCACCATCATAGCTACACAGGCACACCTGCCTGTACCTACTTAGCCTTGCTACTGTGGGGCTCCCATCCTGTCCTGTCCGTCCCATCCTGTGGCTGAAGTGAGTTCCCCCATCTCCTCAAAGGCTTTGCCTCAGTACTTCTCTTTACTACATCATTCATTTCTCCCACGCCAGGCATGGTGGCGGCTCGTGCCATTAATCCCAGCACTTAGGAGACAGAGTCAGGCAGAGCTCGAGAGTTCAAGGTCAGCCTGGTACATAGAGCAAGTTCCAGAACATCCAGGGCTACACAGAGACACTCTGTCTCAAAACAAAACAAAAGTTTCCAACTATTAAAATATTCCTATAGGTACACAGAACTGCTGTATATTTTTCCCATCTTGAAAACCAGCCAGCTTAAAAAAAATAGAAGAGAAAAAAAGAGAAAAACAAAACAAGATAAAAACTTGGTTTACCTGACATACTCTCAGTTACCACTAAA